TCACGCGATAAAAGAGTACATAAACAACGACTACGAGGACGAAAAAAAGAAACGAAAAGAAAGAAGAAAGACGACGACGACGGCGACGTGTGTAGCAGCAACTACCATGATGGGTGGCACATATCCATCCACACGCAAGTATAGCAAGTATGAATCAAGTCTTGCAAGTACCGTTTCCAGAGCTGCAATCGGCGCGTTGCGAATTCGAGCGAGCGAGTACAGGTATATGTATATAGGCGCGCGCCAAGATCGCATTGGTGGTGCAGTGCGCGCCCGATACCGATGCCGCTGCGGTGGTGGAGCGCGCGCCTATACGTACGCACGCTCGACGTCGACTGATAAATGTTTTTTTCGGAGCGCGAGAAAAAATGAGAGGAAGAGATTTACACGATGAGCCGGCTACATATTCTCCTCTACGAATCATCGATTGACGTCATCGCCGCGTGCTGCGGCTCCCTCGTTCCTCCCCCCACAAATACATATTATATGTACATAATAATGATGCGAGAACGATCCCCGTGGGCTGCTGCCTGCATTTAACGCGAATGCGAATAATGAAAAACGAGCGAACGTGCAGGCGGACACAAAAGACGAGCGCTAACGTCACTTGCCAGCTTATGTACTCGATAAAAGAGAATCCATCCATTGGAACAATGAATACATACAATCGCATGACAAAGAAACTTTCGCTGGTTGATGATTAAAAGAAAAATAATAATAAGGAGAAGAAACGAATATCGTACATAATAAAGGCACACGTGCAGTGCACGCGGGGCAGATCATTACCGAGGCTGCACTATCGCATCTTTAATTTCTTCGGCGCGACGTCGACAGCTTGCGCGCGACCGACCGACCGACCGACCGGGCGATCATATTGAGCACGCGTCATCGTAACGCGAGAGTCGCATCGTGCCTACATTATATCATTAAGCATTCGTACTAATGAATACAACAACAGCAAAAAAAAAAAAAAGAAATGTGTCGCGAGTCATTTTCATACACGCGTATGACGCATGGAACGATAAACCCCGGCTAATATATACCGATCGCTGCACTGGCGCACGCCAAAATTTTGCACCGTGCGGCCGCACACGTCTGCAAGCGCAAGCGCGATCCGATAGTATAACTTTTCATACATGTGTACTCGAGCAAAAAGAGTGTCAGAATTTACGCGCGTGACGAGTGCGTGGCTAAAAGAGAAGAAACGAGAATACGAAAAAACAAAGGCTACGATTAAAAGGCCAGATTATGAGACGCTGCTCTGTTGCTCTTGCTACTTTGTGAAAGACCATTTTTTCCCCTTTCTTTCTCGTGAAAATCGGCTCGTGTGTTTGTAATCTTTGCCCGATTACGCGTGCGCTTTACGATCGTGGCTTGCGCGAGAACGAGAGGGCAATTTCCTATATCATACGATCTTAGCAGTTTGCCGAAAGAATTCATTATGTTTATCGACCCTCTTCGACATTCGCTTTGTAATTATATGCATGCGTGAGAGCCATTAGATTTTTTTTATAAACTTCTACAAAAAAGAATGAGAGCAGAGAGAAGAAAACGGAGAAGAAGAAGATGATGATGATGAAGTTGTAATACGTATTATACACGTTTGTTACAAAGTGTGTGAATTTATCGGAACCGGAGAATGGATCTATTAAAGCGCCTTCGTATGAAGTTGTGTGTATGCAGCCATTACAATGTGTGTATCGAACCAGCCGCAACAAGCGACAGTATATATAACATTCCAATCTCGTGTAAAGATATATAAACGCTGCGTATGGACTATTAACCCCTTTTCGACACATCGCGTCGAGTTGAGAGTCTACATCATCGTGTAATGTACATATATATATTATGAGACACTTGAGTGGTATTGAATTCACATACGCAGAGGCTCGTTTAAAGATTCATCATCGACTACTCGGATAGCAGTAGAGGCAGTAGTTTCAGTAGCCTATGCTGCACACACACACTCCCGACATAATGCAATCGAAATCTCTCTCTCTTTCTTTCTCTCTCAAATTCGTGTTAGAAAAATTATATCATATCGCCACTTGCTTCGAAGACACTCTTATATACAATAACACATACAAATGAGATTATCACTTGTCGAGAGTAAACAAGAGTAAATTTTAAAACACACGCAAACATTCCTCTCAATGCATCGTCCAATATTTGTTAATCTGTAGCGTTTGGCTTCTTTCACAAGTGCAACAAGTGCATTATGAAAAATTTTAGCTTGCTATTTAGCGCGCCTTTCAAACGAAATATTCATATTAGGTAATCTTTTCTAAAAATGAGGGATTTACAAAGTGGGGTTACAGCGTCAGTTCTGGTGGGTTTGTCCAAAAAAATACTCACATTTTTTGAAAAATCAATCTAGTTAATAAATGCATAACAAATACCGAAACTTACAGCAACTATGGTCCACAATTTTTTTTACGCAAGAAAGATAGATATTTTATTATTTATGGCAATGCCTACACTTAATGATGGTTTGTAATGAAGTTAAATATGAAATGTGTTTCAGAGATTCTTCAATTGTCGTTATAATTATTTTCAGTGACATTATACGTAATAAGAAAAAAAAGTTTATTTATTCGCATGCAAAAGCGATATTCCAAGCCTAGTAATTGTTCGACTTTTAACTGTATAGAAAATGATTTGCTATGCGAGGGTTACAATTAGAATTAAACTTTTTTCAGAGGCGGGTGTTTCGAGTGTATCAACTTTGATTTTTGCGGGATACCCTAATACGTACAAATGCGAGCGATATATATTGAATCGAGCTTGGCTGCCTCAATGCCAAGGCCGGCCACTGACAGAATCTTGTGTTTATACATGGTGTGTATATATAAGTGGCCATGCATGAGTGCACGAAACGACGAAAGAATTTAGGTCGCTCTAAAATATGATGTATGAGATGTTCGCGCCGTGTAGAAATCTCTCTTTCTTTCTGTCTCTGTCTCTTTCTTTAATATACACGTATATCATCACACAGTAAACATTCAAATGGATCGTTTAAGAGCGATATAATCGTTATAAATTTCTGAGCTTCTTCTCAATATATGCGTGCATTACACATGTGCGTTCGTTCGAGGCGTATGCTTTTTTTATTCATTATGTAGGGCCCGAGCTAGCTACTCTGAAGCAGTAGTATAATGTTAGTCATGTGTACGTGGGTGCGTATTTTACACTAGAAAGAAGCCACGATTACGCCTCGTTGGCCAAGTGACCCTGACCTTCGAAGTACGTCGGTTTCGGAAGGATTCAGGACGCGTTGAATTTCTCGTCAATTTTCTTTTTCGACCCCTCGTCATCAAACTTTTACATGCTTTACTCTTTGCTGGAACGTTCATTTATGTATAAATGCATGAATGTAATCAGCAAAAAATTGTCCTACAGCCATCGTGCTTTCACAATAGATATCGCGGTAAACGGTTCATATATACCGTTGATTTCGGCGTACATGAAACGCGTGGCGTGACCTGCACTCGTATATATATACAAACGAGGCATGAGAAACTGAACAATCGCGCGCGTCGACTATTAAATACTTGCGACAAACAAACGGTCGAGCCGAGGCACGTCGTTGTCGAGGATAAACATTGCAGTGCGCTCCTCTCTCGATCAACCGGTCGATCGAGATGTTCAATGGACGGCGTATGGGGCACGCGGGGCAAAAAGTGCCCGGCCACCGAGCGCGCGTGCTCTGTATCAGCAGCAGCAGCAGCATCTTTTTAAACTCATCGCACGCGCTTCTATAAATGATTGACAGAGGTGCAGCTAAAGCGAAATGCAATAAAAAGGGATTCGAGTGCGCAGCAGCACGGACGTTACGAGGAAAAATAAGCAATAATAAGCGTGATATATAATATATGTGTGTGTATCGAAGCGACGTGTATAATAATGCATGAGTTATGAGTAAATAGTATGTTTGCTGCCCCGAGACCTGCAGCGACTGCAGGACGAGCATTAAATATATAAAATGAAAGGAAAGGAAGGTCGCCGCGAGCTGTCACTCAAACTTATGGCAATATAGACAATACCCGTGTTTCGCGTTGACGAGAAAATTTGCCGAATGGAAAATGCACATATTTCACACAAATTTATATGTGTGTGCAGAAGAACGATGAGCTCGGAACGATTTGGTACCTGACCCGAGATCCAAGAGAGCCCCGCGCGTCTTCGCCAATATTATATAGGTGTGCATCATCGATACGACTATATATCCCATGGGCATACATGTACAGACGCAGCACGCGCGGACGAATACACGTACGGGAGAAACGAAAAGTGGAAGAATTGGAGGAAGAAAGAAACCGACGGAAAAAAAGGATCGTATTTCCAATTGAGAAGTCTTTTGGTGTACAAGTGCATGTCGGCGGCGCGAGTGCCTCGAGAGGCTAAAATTTCAAAGTCATCAGCGTTGCGAATTTTTTTCCTCTTTTTGCCTTTTTTCGACCAAAAAAACATGAAACAAAAGGAAAAAAAGAATAGGAGAGGACGATAACGAAGCAGTACCCGAAATTCTCAGAATTTTACTCTGCAGTTGGCCGGCGCACGCTTCTTTTTTGACAGATCAATCGATTAAAAGTCAGCTTGTCTAGAAGTGTATACTGTATATTATGCATGGCAGAAGCAGAATAGCAGTAGAGCATCGAAGAATTCTCTTTTCGATAAACAAACGTGAAGAAATCCTTCAAAAATTAATGGTTGTTTTTCATTTCTACACGCTACTGCGTCAACAATTCGACAACTGCTAGAAACAGATTTGTCAAGCTGAAATATATTAATATAATATATGCATTCTTTTTGCGCTTCAGTGGAAATATGTTAATTCGCGGTTGTACGCGTCGCGTTTTTTTCTTTCCTTTGTCCTCGTTCGACATTCTTTCCAAAATGACGTTTGTTGCACAATATAGAGTAAGCCAAGATAGCCAGTTACAGATACAAAAGGAAAAATGGAAAAATGCGTTGCAAGTTATGGTTCGAGTTGTACTCACGTGGCTGAGCGAGGGAAATGACTACGTCGGTCTTGGCGACGCTATCGTCGACCTCTTCGTGATGCGTGATTTTGGGCTCGAGGCCCAGCGGCTGGTCCGCCTGCATGCCGTACATGTCCATGAGCTTGGAGATGGGCGGTATGCGCGGCAGCGCTCGGCCCGTCATGTTCGGCGCCTGCTTCATCCCCAGCTTGTTCAGTATCTGCTCCTTGATGGCCTCGAGGCTCAGTGCCCGGATCTCCTCGTGCATGCGGCAGGCGTTGCACATGCCCAGCGCGACGACGCGCCGGGTCGTGGCGAGGCTGCGCTCGAGCCATCGCGGCGTCGCTCCGGGGCTCTGTCCGGATGCACGCGATTCTCCGGGGAATTCGAGGGCTCCCAGCAGCACCATCGTGACCAATACCGTTCTTGTGATCATTATGGCCTTTTTTTCTTTATTATGAATAATGAATTTTTTGTTTTAATTTGAAAGGTCACACTTTACGAATGTCTTGTGTATTTAAATAAGTATTTGTATGAACTTGATGGATTTATTCACTTCAAAAGAGTTCACCCGAAATTCTCATCGTCTCATTTTCTCCGAGTCTCATGGATTGACAAGTTTTTAATGTTTACGCGGTGTGCATGTACACGTAAAATGTATGTGGGTGTATTATGTTCTTTTTTTCTTCACATATACATACGTATGGATACTCTTCTCTGTCACCGCAAATATCGTCTGCGGTATAACTCTTTTAACACTTCAAATTGCTTTTCTTGATTTTAATAATCTTTTTTTCTCATTAAATTAATATCATATTAATTTCATTTATTCAATGTTGTTTCACGGGTCTTAAAGTACGCAATCAATGTCAAAATTCACTACAGTGTTCTAAAACACAAGAATCGATTTTTGTCAATTCTCACTAATCAACGATTATCACATTATATTGCATAAAAACTGTATCTTAAGCTAATAATACACGATTTTAATTTTTAAAAAGTTTTTAAAAAAACTAATGACTATTATTGGAAATTCGATCACATAGTTATCGCATTGAAAATTTTGCGAAAATTTTCTTTTCGTTTTTTCTTCGTTGTTGCTGAATTGTAGCGAGTCTTGATAGCACTGCGCGTAGGAAACTGTCTGGCGAATCTATTTTGCTCCTTTTGCCGCGATGCAGTAGCGGCAATAGCAGCCGTGGTACTAGACGTTGGGGAGTTACTTATTGTTGCGTTCTCGAGAGACTTGGAGAGTGCGTCTATAATTTTCGTCTAGCCGATGGCTCATAGCGGCTGCCGCTGCTCGTCGTGGTATAAAATTGTCAGTTCTCGATGATGATTCTCATTTTCGTCTGCACATAATCTGGCGCCGAAGGTGGAAAAGTGCGTTTTCGACACTGGTAAGTCAACGAAATCTGTTTTTTTTAGAGAAGGAGAAATTGTCTTGAAACTTTGGACGATCTTCTGCTCACAAGTCGAGTGTCACCGAGCAATGCAGACGTGGGTCGACGTCTAAGAGCAACTCAAGAGAGATGGAATAGAAGAAAAATCGGTAACGAGCTGGCGGCGCACGCTCAGACAGTTGCAGTGACAGTAGCAGCAGCTGATCGCGAACCTTGCGTCCGTACGGAATCGGAGCCTAGTATACAGTAGTTCGTCGAGCAGCGTTTGTGCTTGCACACACGCGTGCAGCCACGGCGGCAGAGAGTGAGAGAAATCGGTAGCCGCAGTAGCGCCGAACGACAAGAGAGACTGAGCACTGCGTAAGCCAGTAGTAGACAGCAGCAGCAGCAGCTCGGACGATAACCAGCAAGTAGTTGGGGCGAAGAAGTCGTGTAGAGAGAGAGAGAGAAAGAAGAGAAAGAGAGAGAGACAGAACAGCGCTCGCTTTTGATGGTGAGCGCAATTCGGAGTCGCTCGCTTATTCGAAACGCGAGTGGCTCGTAAATGCGTGGTGACGTTCTCCCGACGATAATCCGAGGTAAACTCAGCCAGTCGCGAAAATGATTTTACGGCATGCGCGCGTGAGCGCCAACGCGCGCTCTCTCTCTCTCTCTCTCTACTTGTTCTTTCTCCTCCAAACGCTAGTCGTATTATGCAGTATCTCTCCCTCTTTTCTTCTTGTCTCTTCTCTTTCGTTGTTGGCCGAACTATACGTCCGTCTATCGTCGCAGCTTTCGGTCGCTTTGTCACATTTGCCGCTGCGAAGGCGCACGCACAGGCGCAGAGAGCCGCTGCAGCTCTCGGTCTCTCCCTTTCTCGCTCGCGTGCACCTCGGCCGCAACGATCGGCAAAGCTCCTCCGTATACATCGTCGCTGGAGAACGCGTTTCCAGGGGTGCCGCAGCCCGACACCGACGCTCTTCGTCGGCGCGCACACACGTACGCTACCTACGCTGCAGCCTTCTCTCGGCTCTTCCCTCCCTCGCTCGCTACCTGCGCCTACTCCTTCCTCGCGACTCTCGACGTGTGCGTGGTGGAGCTTTCTCTCCCCGTGGGTGTGATACACGTACATGTGCGCGCGCGCGCGCGAGAAAGAGGCGTGCGTGCGCTATCGGATACGTCCCACTCGACTCGCTCTGGAACGAATGGTAGTGAGGCATGACGAGTTGTAGCGAGCGAAGGAGGCCTATGCGATATGTCGTACGGATCGAAGGAGAGCTCGTGTGATTGCACGCAGTTGGCCCGTGCGATCCAGCAGGTACGTCGTGGCATGCATTTACGCACCTCCGAGCCCAACTTATCGTATTTATCATTTTTGGCCGTTTGACGCGATGTCACTTTCGTTTACTTTGATAAAAAGCCCAGCAGTCGTTGACTCGCTTACTTTATCGAACAAGTCCGATCATCGCTCGAAATCAGCCATTATACAAGCGATTGCAAAGTTGATATTTATTTCCGTAATGTTCAAAGACTCTTGAAAAAAAATCGAATTACTTTTGTTTACTCGATGAAAAAGCATCTACAAATTATTTGTAAAATAAACAAACACGCCGCGTATTTATTTGATTTTCCGTATTTTAGTCCGAGGGTATAACATTCCTTGGGCTCTGTGAGTGCGAGGCGTAAGCGCGTAAATTCTTTCGCACCAAACATGGAACTTTTTTACTCGCAAAGAATACCATGAGCGCGTCTGAATAATATTATTTTCAACGAATAATTTTGTGGATGCACATTCGACCTCAAAATGAGAGTTGTTTAGAAAAAAAGATACATCAAATAATACACGCACAGCGAGAGGGAAAGAAAAAGATAAAGAGAGAGAGGGACCTGAGCTTTGAGATTTTAAAAACTTGATAATCACAAGCGCGTGCAGTAAAGTGCTTGACGAAATTTTTCGAGGAACCTATCCTACAACAAAACAACAGTATTCGGCTGTTGCTCGCGCGATGCCTATTAAAATCTGCCTGGGATGATTATAAAGGAAGTTCGTTGCACTCTTTCTTTCTCGCTCCGTGTATCCCGTCTATTCGAAACGAAACGCCGAAAAAATCACGTTTCGAGAAGACAGCTATCGGTCTTTTTTGATATTTCTTTTTTTATTCTTCCACCTCTTGTGAGCCTTTATAATGAGAAAATCGATGCGCTATATATGCACTATATAGGCTTTTATGAATTTCATAAGGGCTTCGCCCCCAAAAAAACTTGCATTTTTTCGAGATTCCCACTGCATTATAATTATCGGTTGCTTGCCTAAACCATACCAGCTATTATTTTTAACTATCGGCTCGAAACAAAGTAGTCGTGAAGAAGCTTAACTTATCTCGAATAAACACGAGAAGAAAAAAAAATTTGTTTGTTACACAGACTTTTTCGTATGAAATACCTGTCAAATTCAAGGACACAAATACTGATTCGTGTTTAATAGTTGTAAACATTTTTAAATCAATTTATACCTTTTTATTTCGTTATCTGAAAATTTGGACGATAAACACTATTCGAAAATAATTCTTAAATCTTCATCTTTGATGATAATGTGGCGGGAATCATCATGTATCACTATATCTAATTTTAACCTTGATGACTCCTATATCTCTTATCTATGTTCGCCAACTTTTTTCGGACTAATTTACATAACAATGGCCTTTCATAAATTTAAGGCATTTTTCTATTTAATCACTTGTTTCATTTTGAAAAAAAAAATCTATAAAATCATTATCGTTATCGAAATGATACTGTTAATTTATTCCAATTAGCTATTGATTCCCGAAAAACAGTCTGTACTAATAGTCTACGCTAGCCTATGCAAAAAAAGATTAAAAAAGAAGTCACTAGTATTATAATGTATTTCATTGCATTTATTATTGAAGATTGATTGTTTTACTTCGCTAACAGTTTTATGTATCAATATCGATGAAAGATATTTAGTAGTCGGCTCATATTTTTTGAAGTGCCATGCCTAACTTTAAAGGTAAAATAATTTTAACTTAAATTTGAATCTCGTTCGTTTCGGGATCTTGATCTCTTTAATCATTTTTTTCTTCAGACGGAAAGATGTGCAAATAAGAGGATGTGCCAAATAAACTGGAACTGTCAACACCTGGGTATTCTTCAATCAATATTTTGAATTCATTTGTCCATATCTTGAGTCGGTATTATGAAAAAGATGTAACAAATGACTCAGTAAACAATGCTTTTGTGTGTTGTAACATTAGACATATTCCTTTTCGATTCTTTATGCTTGAATGACTTATTTCTAGATGAAATTATGTACTCTGTTTGTTTTTGTTGATAACATTTGAGCCAAATGAAAATCAATGTACTACAAACGTACCAGTCATGCTACAATAGCAAATAGTCTATGAAATAAATAAAAACGTAAAAAACCCCGTCTCAATTTTTGTTTCATAATGAATTTTATCGCATAATTTATTGATACGTGTTCTACAAGTATGTATCGAGCAATGACGCAAACTATACGAATACAATGAAGATAAAAACAAAAAAGTTTCGCTACGCATACACAACCAGTGCATGGTTCATTTAAAATAGAAAGATCGTCGTCAGTAAAAGAGAGAGAGAGAGAGAGAGAGAGAGAGAGAGAGAGAGAGAGAGAGAGAGAGAGATAAGTGTTGGAAGAACTTGAGAAGAACAGCAAAAACAGAAGATAAAAAAAACATAAAAAAAGTAAAGGTACTACAGCAAAGTGACAGAGCAAAGGCTAAATGTACTTGAATTAACTTGACGATGTATTTCGAGCGCATCTACGTTTAGCTCACTCGTAAGTTACAGCTATACACATTGCTCAATACGCCTAGCAGGTACCTATATAAATCCGTGTCGGTACCAAAGTTGTATCGTCTTGCGGGATTATCATCACACTTATTCTAAGAGTCGATTAATTAATTTTTATTTATTAATAGTCGAGAAGAGGATTTGAAAAGACAATATATGCGATGTTCACTCGCACGTGATTAGTCAAGGAGCGCCACGCCTCAGGCTCAAGCTGAAAGTATGGAAAGTTGCGGACTTTTAGTATTAAATAGCTCGCTCGCGTTTTCGTACTCCCCGCGCGTGCACGGCCTCTAGGTGAGGGCAGTTTCTGAAAAAGACTGCGATGCGTAACGATGCCTGTCCGTGTTACCTGATGCCCCCTTCACCTTCACTGCGTAGGGCTGCATTGCATATCGCACAGTAACAGCAGCAACAGTAGCAGCTACAAATAAAAAAAACTGCATACGCACACGAAGATAAGAAAGGCGAGGTGCGTGCCTGAGAGCTATCCTTATGTAGCTTAGGGGAGGCCATACAATACTTTAGTAACCCCGTAATACCCCTCTTACTCCATACATATAAGCTAAGTATAATGTAGCTCTCTCTTTTTCTATGAGCAGGAAGAAGAGAGCGAGAAAAAAGAGAGACAACGAAGCATTGCGCCTCCATATACGCACATATTGTATTGTCTTTAAGTCTTTAAGAGCTTAGAGATAAGAAACCCCGTGAATAAGCATTAGGGCGTGCTAGAATAATTTTTTCCTAGCTAATACCGTTTAACTGAAGGTAAGGGGTGAATCGAACGTATTATCACCTATCCAATGTCTCATTGCGGTACGAGCTCGACAAATTACGCGTTTGGCGTTAACTTTCGAGCTCTGTGTAAGTTTCATCATAAGCAAATTTTTTTGAGAAAATTTAAGAAAATATTCGTCGATAACTGAAAAGCAAACAGTCATTTATAACTTAGAGCATGATTTCATTTCAAGGAGAATTCGATACAGTGCACTCGCTCTTTGTCTTTCTACCTATCGCTTATTACCACGATTTTGTGGCTTCGTGGCTGCAGAACTCTTTTTTTTTCTTTCCAAAGTATAGCTGAATTCGAAACGTGCATGTTTCTCAGATTTATTTTAAGGATAAGGGGAGAATATAACAAGGGATCGACGGAAGAAGCTTTGATATCTGTCCATTATATATCAGTAGGTGCACGCACGTATTACTGCACAGTAGACTCAATGCTTATATTTCAACTTCGCTTTTTCCTTACAATTCTATAACAAAACTTCACCAGAGTGCCCGGAGGTGTATCGATTTAACACCCGAAAGCATAAGGAAAAGTTGCCGAGATTCACCGATAAAAAAACTGAAGTTGAATTTGTATTCACAGAAGAGAATTAAAAGGGCACAGCTTAAAAAAAGCTTGTAGATGATATTATCGCTTTTTTTAGGTGATAATTACACAAGTTTTTTTTCATGATCGCCAAGATTTTTTATTGTATATCTGCGTCAGCTCTGTGCATGTCTAGTGCAACGTCAAAAGATTGATCGTAATAATTCACATAATCACAAAAAAACTAGTTGGATTTAATAGAACTGAAATCATATTTAATTTTGAAAAAAGATAGTATAGCTATCCACATTGTTTAGAGGCCAGTAAATATTAAGGTTCGCACCAAAGAAAATCCACCCACTTCCCCTTCTCGACCACGTAGCTCTGGGTTGAGGTATCTTAATGTAAGAGTAAATTTGTGTTTTTATAAAATAATCTGCATTTGTGTCGCGTGTAGGATTGCGTGTGTTCAAGCAATGGAATCGTTTTTGTTAAAAAACAACGAATACGAAAAAAAATAAAAGTTCAAATCTTCATGAAAATACTATAAAAAAATCATATTTATTGTTAGCTTATTTTATTTGCTGTGCTGCTATGTCAGTTTTTTTTCATCAAAGAGAAAAGAATTATATTGTTTTTTTTTATAATTCTATAATGTCTTGATTTCAGAAAAAAACTGTTTTGTAAAAAATTTATCACAAAAGATTTATTTCGAAAAAAAAACGATGATTCCCGACGAATTATCATCATGATGCATTTGATTTTCCATGAACTCCTAGAACGACAGAAACGAGACGATGTGATATTTAAATCGGCTTGATTTCTTTTTTAATTGCAAAGTGTGTGTATGTAATAGAAAGCATATTGAAAAACAATTTGAAAAATTTTTCATTTTTCGTCGATCTATTTTTACATCAATCGGTCGTATCACCTCTTGTTTTAAGAAAAAATATCAAATTTGTGTGTAAAAACAAGCATATTGAGAAACAATAAAAAAATATATCATTCTCAAAATATTAAGGGTCCTCTATACACGATGTGAAATGCTCAGTCAGTAACACCAGCTACCTAGTTATATTTATGTTCAGTCTGAAAAATTGGAAATGTTATTCGCAAATAATCGAGTTGACGCACCTTTCTAATACACTCATTAACATCGTGGTCGAGTTTTATCCAATTCCATCCATTATTCAAGGAGAAAAACGAAAACTACGAATGATCATGATCAATGTTATTTAATAGGTTATGATTATTCGTAGTTTTCGTTTTTCTCCTTGAATAATGGATGGAATTGGATAAAACTCGACCACAATGTTAATGAGTGTATTAGAAATGTGCGTCAACTCAATTATTTGCGAATAACATTTCCAATTTTTCAGACTGAACATAAATATAACTAGGTAGCTAGTGTTACCGACTGAGCATTTCACATCGTATATAGAGGACCCTTAAGGGCCAGGCCTACCCACTCAGTCGGTATTTAGTACCGAAATATTTTGTCCTCATTTTTCTCAATGAATACTTTATTAATCATCTCAAAACTTTGTAATAACGTTCTGAGGATTGACTTAATTATGCCGGTTCTCTTGTTTTTCCGTAATTGTCAAGAATTTTAAGTAAGTAGATTTTATTGTTGCTTTTTGGTTTTCATAACCTCTGATTCCAAAAAATTTAATTTAAGTAAGCTTATAAGATAATTCCTGGAAAACAAGAGCACAGGCATAATTATATCAATCTTCTGAACGTTACTTCGAAGTTTCAAGATGACTGATTCATTATCCGCGGAGAAAAATGAGGACAAAATTTTTCAGTACGTCGGTAACTTGCTGGTACTATCGCCAGCCCTTAAGGGCCGGGCATACACACTCTGTCGGTAACGACCGCTCTTCGATACTGAAATATTTTGTCCTCGTTTTTCTCAGCGAATAACGAATCAATCATCTAGAAATTTGCTCACAACATTCAGGAGATCAATACAATTATGCCTCTGGTCTTATTTTTTCGATCAATGAAAAAAAAATCTAGACAGGAAAATTTTTGTCCTCGTTTTTCTCCCTCAAAAATGAATGAAATCGAGTAAAAATTAACCAAAATGTTAATTAGTGTATTAGAAATATGCCTCAACTCATGTTTTTTGCGACAATATAACACAACTGTTAAAAATCGTTAGTATTCGTCACACATAAAAATGTTGAAAACGCTAAACATTGGTTTCACTCAAGAGTTTCATAGATGGCGCAGCAAAACAATAATAGTATGTATTTGACTCATAAAATCTGTTCTGCTTGAGACTTGACAGCTTATACAAAAGTTTGATCAAATTTGTTGTTGGTAGAATAAAAATGCCACCTGTTTCAAACAGATGAAAACAATAATGCGCAAAATATTGTTATACATCCTTAAAATGTAACATTGTTACTATAATTATGTTGTTCTTCGTTTTTCCAGTCAATTTACTAAGTAGCGTTTTGTGAATGTGTGAACCATATCAATAGTTTTGTTTAGAAAAGCAACATTCACATTACTGCATTAATTTATAAAAAAGTGATTGATAATGGTAATACATAAAAATTATGCAAAATAGTTAATTTTATACACAAAGAAAATAAAAACAAAGTTTGATTGATCAGCAACCTTTTATTCTCACAAAATTATGGATATAAATTGATGTAAACACGGCCTCTGCCAGACGTCACTCATGAGAGAATTGCTCAGTTAGTTTGTAAAGCGGCCGCCAGATGGCGAGGACTGGCACGCGCAGCCAAAGTATAGTGTAGTAGCATTAAGTACAAGCCTGTAAGCGAGTGAAAATTGAGCTCACTCCGAGTCGAAACTGGAGTATAAACAATAAATCGACATTTTTGGAATCGGATAAATCGTTTTGTTATTTATCCGAGGATCTGTCCGCCATCCTTTATCTTCCCCTCGCCTATGTCTACAGGACACCTCAAGAACGCAGGACAGGAGCCGCCGCCAAGGAGCTGCATCTACACCAGCGGACCCATAAAAAAAAAGTAAATTACCTGATAACTTTGATTGAAGTTGACGTACGGCTGAGGATAATACCCGTACTGGTACTGGGCTGGTACTGACGGGGAGGCAAGGTTGAGGGCTGGTAACAATACTGTTGTGGCTGTTGCTGATAAGCAGGGTTCTGAAGAAGCCCTTGCTGACACTAGGGGGGGGGGGGGGGGGGGGNGGGGGGGGGTGGCAGCAGGTCCTGGCGTTGTTGATGTGACTGGTAAAGTTGTACTTGTTGGTGTGGCTGGTAAACATGTTGCTGTTACTGCAGCGGATAAACTTGTTGTAGCTACTGTTGGGTTGGCTGAGCCAGGTCGACTTGTGGCTGTTGATGTATGATCGGCTGAGCTATGTGTTGTTGTTGCTGCTGCTGAGGCTGAGCCAAGTTTTGTTGCGGCTGTTGTTGAATCTGCTGAGCTATGTGTTGTTGTTGCTGAGGTGGTTGATAATACCGGTACTGGTTGGACTGGTACTGACGCGGAGGCAAGAATTGTTCATGCGAGGTTGAGGGCTGGTAGAAATACTGTTGTGGTTGTTGCTGAAATTTTTCAGCATATCGCGGCTGAGGCTGATAAGGGTACTGAAGAAGCCCTTGTTGATACTGGGGTGGTGGCAGCCGGTCCTGGCGTTGTTAATGTTGTGGCTGTTGCGGTGACAGCTGAGCTAGGTGCTGTTGCTGTGACGGGTAAACTTGTTGTTGTAGCTGTTGTGGGGTCGGCTGAGCTAGTTGTTGTTGCTGCTGTGGTATAGGCTGAGCCAGGTTTAGTTGTGGCTGTTGTTGTCTCTGTCAGATGGACATTGGACACATTGAAAACGAGCGAGCGTTAGCGAGGTAATTCGCTAGTTCTTATAAAGAATTGAATTATTGTTTAAAATAAAAGTTTGATTTGATCAAACAATTATTAATTAATTTAAGATGTAATTTTAGTTTTCCAACTTATGTATAGTTTATATACTTGCTGGACGGGGTGTTCCTCGATATCGTCAAAGGCGATTATTGTTTCACAACATAAGTTTATGAGAAAATTCTTATCAAGAATTAAAACATAATGTTTTTAATAATATAAGTTTAGTTTTATCATATAATGATATATCATATAATGATAAACTAATAAATTATTTTGTTTGTTTGGCTTTTACCACGTTAAAATATAAAACGCCTAATATAGGAGTGAACAATGCCATCTAGTGGTCATCAAATTTAATTTTAAGATAATAAAAATGATGACCGATAATAAAGATCCCTAGGGTCACGTCGGCATTTGTCATCGTATATGCCTGGCCCTCAACTTGCATCGATCGAATCGATTCTTGTTTTATATAATCTTGTTCGTCTTTAATGATGTCGATTTTTTTAAAATAAGATGTGATTGTTTTTAAATATGCTTTTTTCACACACACTTTGTTTGTGATAATATTTTCATGAAGGTTTGAACCTTTGGTTTTTTTTTCGTATTCTTTGATTCTTCATAACCAAAAACTATTATAGTTCAAAAGCACGTTAAATATGTTCAGTAATTGTAACTGAGTTGTGAAATACATTGAGAAAAACTAGAGTACGATTTATACTTTTGAATAAAATAGAAGACATTTCTGAAATTAATTCATTATTGGAGACACGAATTAGCTTTTCTCCATTTCAGATACCTCAGCCTTTTGACATGACATAAGCTCAGCTGAACTCGACCGCGATTCATGCTCGAGACACAGTGTGAATCGCTCTCAGTGCTGTTGACGAAACGCTTTCAATAAAACTCGTGTGTGATTCGTTTTCAGAATTCGAGCGTGAAACATGATCAAACGTTCTTTCGAGTAGAACTCGTGTGTGATTCGTTTTCATAATGCGAGCTTTAAACACGGTGAAAAGTTTTCCGTATACTATGAGTAAATTATTAAGCGATGTTAATCATAATTTGTTTATAAAATTTAGATGAATTTTGGAGTTTTCGTTTAAGGAGGCTCTACACCAATCATAACAATAGTACAGCGAGGCATCTGTCTGTCTCTTTCTCGCATTAGGCAGACAACCGCTCGCACTATTCGAAATCAATTGTTTTATTTAATTACTCATTAGATATTTCGTTAAGGGGTAATTTTTAACATACCAATCGAAAGCTTGGAACTTTCTTTTTCAGAAAATATATTTTTTATTAAGATGGTTGATCTTTTAAATTAGTTATAAACAATAAAAGATCGCGTCCCATAAGAGCCCGTGTTAAAATCGCCATTTTTAAACTTGTTTATCTCGAAAGTTTGATCGTCAACCACATGTTTTTTTTTGGAATCTCATTTTGAAGATCTAACAAATCGATTGATTTAAGTTTTATCTTGTTGGATGATCTTTTGTATTATGTGTAGAGCCTCCTTAAGTGATAATTCTCGATAGTATTTGTAAACATTAAAAAATTTAGCAGTACTATTTTATTATAGTATAACTATTGACAGATTGTATACCTCAATTGGTAACGTATAGCTGGGCTTGTGTCGGAACTTGATTGTGGTTCAGCTCGTTACTTATATTTACAGTTAGCAAGCTCTGAAACGCCGATGTTTATAGCGTCAAAAAACTCCTCGAATATGATGAATCATTTATGATATTAGTATGATCTTAAAGATCAAATCTATCGAACTGTGTCATTTTAAAAGTTTCGGGCGTTTGAAAATTGCAAAAATGTGCATTTTTCCCATTTTGAGTCTCCATATCTCAGTAAATAATTATTTTACGAAAATTTTACAAGAAACACTTTATGCTTAAAATGACCCAAATAACACAATATGCGTTTAAAATTTATATATTTTTAAATATATTTTTCTTTATTTTGCCATAGTCAAAAAATTATATATTATTTATAATATTGTGGTTCGATAGTGTAACTAAGTTGTAACTTATTTATCTACGGAAGAATTGCGACTGAGCTAAGATCACTATAACATTCTAGTTCGAGTTACTAGAACGTATCTGTTATGTAAATACTAGAGTATGTAGTGTAATCTACCCAAAATCTAGTTACCGCTACTATTACCATCAGTCAATTTTTTTACTATAGCGCTCTAGTAACCAATACTATTTGAAATTTTCAGTGTATTTACAGGAAGCTAGACGTTTATTTTTTCTCATGCATATGAGGAGCATACAGTGAAGCTGCTTGTCTGCTCTACTTTTTTACCATTCGGAGCGCAACACGCGCTCCTTGATTGCTAATGAAAAGAACCAAATACCTAAGTTTACTTGATGATCTATGAAATGAAATATACATTAGATTTCGCTATAAAATCTCCAAAATGCGGCATATTAGCTTATAAAACTGCCGATTTCAATATTCACAAAATATTATAAAACCCAGTAGTTAAAAAAAAGTTTTCTATCGCTCTTTTCGAGTGGTAAAGTAAGGGAGGTGAGCTCATTTATTATTTACACTCTAAATCCAAAAGAGTAACTTTCGAACCTCAAATGAGTAATCTGGGTTATTTACTTTTTTAAAAGAGTAAATAACGCAAATTACTCCTTTCACTTGAACGTTAGAACTTAAAAAAATAAACTCATTCAAATTACTCTTTTTGTAGAAATTACTTTGTGCAAACGTAACTGTGTGCAATGTAAACGCGTGCCGTCACTCGACTTATGTATTATATGCGAGCAAGCTCGTAATTATCGGAGCCGAAATGAGCCGCAAGTGTCCACCACCGACGAGTAAACCAGTATACACTTTAAACCCTAAACTGTTCGAATTACTCTTTTAAAAAGAGTAGATAACGCAGATTACTCTTTTGAGGTTCGAAAGGTACTCTTTTGCGTTTAGAGTGTATATGCATGGAAAAACTGATTGCTAGGCACTGTATAATGTTAGTAGCAGCTTTCATCAGACTATTGCCTATTTCGTTCAAGTAAAATATACATTTTCTATTTATAATTCTTGAATATCCATGCTTACTCAATTTCGATTAAAATATTACATTACTATTTTATACTTTCTGAAGTTAAATTTTCTTTAAAAATATAATTTTCTTTAGACATCATTGAAAACAAATTAATTAAATATAAAGATTAGAGAAAATTACATTGGTTAGAGTAAGATTTTTTTTTCTCGCAAATGTAGATAAACGTTTGAATAATCGAGTAAATTATATATATGTCCGATTCTCTGTGAAGTCGAACGGCAAAAATAATTTTTTTCGGAAAATATGAAAAACTTGTGGTTTTCGATGTCAGATTTGTCCCGAAAAATTTTTAGATAAATGAGGGCCTACTATGACACTTATTTGGAGGCAAAAGTTGGCTATTTTATCGTTTTTCCGAAATTCTTGAAAAATCACAAATATTTAAATAATTCCTAGATCAGTGTAGAATGATTCAAAAGTAGAAGTGACCACCAGCTTATTTCTTGGAAATTGCCCTCAGAAAAAATGTATTTCAAAGTGATTGGAGCAACTTGGGAGGTTATAGAGCGGAAAAAACTTAAAAAAAAACCAAAAACCTGAAATCTAATCGAATTCGACAATTCGAAGCTTTTTTTCAAAACTATGTAAAAAGCTTCCTGAAGATTTCAACTATTTGCTGATAAAGTTTTGTAACGGGTCCTGAAAAAAACGCAATATAGAAAAGAGTATGTGCCGAAAAACGTGCAAAACACGTCGAAAAATGGCTGTTTTTGGCGATTTTACGCATTATGGGTCTATTTTCGATATTTTTTGCACGTTTTTGATCAGAAATTGATGTCTACTTTGCGTTACTTTTTTAGATCCATTACAAAATTTTATCAGGCAGTAATTGAATTTTCAGGAAGCTTTTTACGTAGTTTTGGAAAAAAAGTCTGGTTCGAACCCGATTAGATTTCGTAATTTATTCAAGTTTTTTCCGCTCTATAACATCCCAGGTTGCTCCATCACTTTAAAATACAAATTTTCTGAAATTTTACACGCTGCTTTATTTTAATTATGAGCCTCGTAAGTGCCACTTCTTCATGAAGCTTTGAGAGAGAGGAACTTGACTTGAGATTGGGATCGGTAATTTTTTCAATGGATTGCGTCGATTGGGTGCATCGGCATCAACGAGAAGGAATCTCTCTTTCTTCTTTTGAGCCACATACTCACGGTTTGCGAGGATGGCCTGCGAACGTTTTGCTTCTAAGCATAATTTATATATGCTTTGGCGCGCACTCGGTTAAAAAGGCCGTAAGGATCTCCGAGAAAAGAAACGAGCAAGAGAGAAAGAGACGAGCCCACGACTGCAGAGCAGCCCGATTCCAGGAAGTCGTGGCGTTAATCAATGGTCGAGACAGCTGGCAGACAAGATAATGGCAGATCAATCTAATTCCATGTACTCACCGACGCGCCTTGCGGCTATATGTGCGAGCGCACATAATGTATATCATTTGATGTGCTTATACGTTTAAGCGCGACATCGATTCGCACGCACACATGTATGCAGACGAATGCATGTAACTATAGCCAACTTCTTTTTTTTCACATGTTCAAATTTTTTTTTCTTTCATACACCAGCAAAAATATGCAAGAGTTAATGTGAGGATTTTGGGCCGTACTCGGAATGAGATATACACAGAATAATTAATCATTAAATCGATGTTACGTACATAAATACGAGCTAGCACTGCACAGATGATTTCCAGCAGCAGATAAATAACGTCGCTAAGAGCCGAGTCTGCTTTTCCGTCATTCGAGCGAGGGGCTTTCTACTTTATCCATAGCAAAAACTTAACCATATTATGAGGTTCGGACTCGACGAGAAGGTATATAAAATTAGCGCTTGTAGAAATGTTCGGTATAGACAACGATAAGTAAGTTATCCACACCGGACGTACTATTTTTAAATAAATTGAAAGTTATATCTAGGAGCAGTAATGTTTTTAGTATTAGCGATACAATATTTGTCTTATTTCCGATATTAATGTGATGTTCTGATTTCTCTTTTCTTAGGTGGAAAAAAAATCAATATTTTTATCTTTCGTGGTTATGGAAGAAAGTCGCCCGACCAAGTTCGGAGGTAAACAGTGCGATTCTTTCGATCGACAAGTGCTGCTGTTTGTGTTCGGTTCATTGGCAGGTATTGGAAGGTAAGAGAGGTCAGTTCGAGAATCGAAGTTAATACAGCACTGACGAAAGAACCGGTAAAAATGTAGCTTCCAAATCTATCAAACCAATCTTGCGGTAAAGCAGTTATTTTATGTTTCATGAATTTATACTTTTACCCACAAATATTTTTTTTGTAATTTGCGAATTTTGAAAATTTAATCTTTTTGTATGTTTTAGATATTGTTGAATGTTAATTGAAAAATACTCAAATTTAAGCCATTTCAATGTGGCACTTATAGCAATAGTGACACGCTCGCGACACAACCGCACCCTGCGCGCGCGACATGTGTGTACGTGACTGTCGGCGCGAGTCCGCGCGGCGCGAAAAAAGAGTCACGAAATAATATTATTTTGCTTGAAATACAATAAATCGGCCGATATATGTTGAGTCGGGGTCGCGGACGTTACATATAAACATCTTGCCTACTTCGGCAAAGTCCGCAATTCCTGCAAGCGACAAAAATGCATTGGTCCAGTTACGTAAACGTACGACGAGCGTATATAATGCATACGCGTATAAAAAAATCTTACGCTTCTCGCGCTACTGCTGCTACAAGTCGTCTCTTTCTCTCTACCGCATACGTATGTGTGTGTGTGTGTGTGTGCGCGCAGGGTTGCTCGCTCGCACATATATACGCGCTGGCCGAGGGATGGCAAAAAATTGCAGCTATGCAGCGAGCGCGCGCGCGACGTTCACGCGCGCTAGGGATGGAATTGAAAATCAAGTAACATAATAGAGAAAAGAAGAATAGCTTGGGCCAAGCGGGCAAACGAGCGAGAGCGCGTCTTTTTCGCTGAAAATGTAACGTGTACACATTTCGCGCTGCGGCGATATAACGTTAGTACGTTAGTACAGCCAAAGTTGAGATGGCGCAAAAAAGATGGCTTTTCGAAACACACGTCGGAGCTTTTTGAAGATTCTTCAGCTCTAAGGACGCGAAAGAATAAGGAAGATGGAAGCCTTGGCTCATAAAACGAAGTGAGGCCGGCGCCTCTCTCTCTCTCCCTCTTTCTCTCTCTTGCACACTCGCTCTTTCTCTATCTTTCTCGTAGCAGCAGTATCAGAAGCAGCGGCAGCATTCACCACGTGGCATGTAGCCAACTACCGTTCCCTGATCAATATGCTTACAGCAAATTCTCCTAGTCCTGCGACTTTCCACCATATATACGCAGAGTGAGAGAGAAAAGGAGAGAGAGAAAAGAGTTTTCAGGTTCGCTCGAAACCAGAAACAGCCGCAAAGACTACATAATTCTGCACCTACTAGATCTATTATTGCAAGTTCGAAGGAATCGTTTTCATTTGAAAAGGACGCATGCATGACGAGGCCATCGTATCCAGCCGATCGTCCAAGGCCATTGACTCGTTATATACTTATGTGTCTGCCTGTCGAATATTCTCAAGAACTCGCGCTGTACGTCCTATCCCTGTACTTGTGCCGAAAATCCGTCGAAAAAAGCACGAAAGTAAAAGTAATCTTCGTTTCGTTCCTATATCTAACAAACAGAAAGTACGGGCGTATACTCGAAGCTACAAAAGTCGATCGCACAAGTTATTTCCTTCCCCGCAAACTGCGTTGATTCTAGTTAACGCGCGATCGTTGTAATGCCTTAATTCGATTGCAATATACTCTATAGATGTGAGCATATTACATGTATAGACCGCAATAAGGGAACGATTGTTTCCTATTATCTTATGTTTATTCAAGAATTTCTCAATCTATAACATTGATATAATCGTCGCGAGTGGTCTCACCGAGTGCAACAAATGTCGAATGATTATAATCTGTAATGTCAAGCGTATCAAGAGTAGAGCTTTCAATCGCAAACTTACGCATATAAATAGAGAGAGAAAAAAAATCAAGCGATCGGGCGATAGACATATTCGAGAGGGAGAAAGAGATCGGCTGAATCGGAATTGACACCTTTTGCGATCGAATAAAATGTCCATTTGATCCCCAGATAACTCGGCGGGTAGTTATTTAGCAAACGATCGTGCGCGAAAGAGGGCGAGTTACAAAGTCCAAAAGGGGCATATATACAGAGAGCGAGAGAGTTGCGATTTCATCGCTCGCATCGCAAAAGAGCCAGCGTTATATAGCGTTATATATTCATATCTGCGATATATATACGTATAATTGACGACGACGACGACGCGGGCGCGTTCCACGAGCAGTGGTGGCTCGACTCTGTCGTCGTCGTCCCTGGTGGGCTATATGCACTGCTACATACTATATATGCCATACTGCTATACTATATATCGCGTATATGTAGCTATCGGGCGACGGCGGCGTGGTAGTGTGGCGACGACGGCGCTGCTTGTCTTTCTCTTTCTCTCTCTCTCTAGCGCGTTGGGCCGCTCGCTCGCTCGCTGCTGCTGCTCGTGGATGAACCTCGGCGCAGTTACGCGCAGCGGATAGTGTCCGGCGCGTCTCCGATCAGCGTGCTTCGCCGTCTGCATGTGTATATAGACCGCATGTGTATACATTCGTACACACGTAATACACTGAATTGTAAAAGCAATTTTTTCTCAATGCAAACATTTTTACGATTTCGATTAATTAACGATAAATAACGATAATGAGATCGATTACGGCGATTCTCGTTGTAACTCATTGCGAATGAACTAACCGGATGCCCGATGAACTGCTGTTACAACGAGAGTTTTGCAATTTATATATGAAATAAGGGACATTGTCTCGGTGTGCCTCTGCCTTGTGTGCCAGTGATAACAGCAGCAGCAACAACAACAACAACAATAACTAAAATAATTAAAACGCGCGAAAACAGTTTTAATGCAATGCAATTTTTACGATTTCGCGAGTACGTGTTAGTACTTGTATTTATACGATTATGTACTCTACGTGAATTAAGTCGTTTTTAAATGACCCAGAGCGCCACTTTTTGCGACATTGACAACTGCAAGAGCAACGATAGCACCTAGAGTGTTGTCACATTCACCTTAAGGCTAATAGTGCTCGTAGTTTAGTTTTTCTCTTCACTTGGTTTTGTAAACAAACATCAGTGACACGACGTTTACAGTACGAGTGAAATTGTGCAACCAAACCAAAAGTGTGCGCGTGGTTGCAGCAAGTTGTAAATAAATAGAGAGCGGCTTACAGACACACATACACACACACTTACACACACCTTCTCGAGGGAGAGCGAGATAGAGATAGAGAGAGAGAGCGTGCGATTTCACCTGTCCACGTGGTCCTTTGCTCCGACACTCGAATGCGCCTGTAGTGCCACCGCGTGTGCATGTGAGTGTCTGTGCGTGTGGGGTGTGCGAGGGAGGTGAGCACCTTCCGTTTGCCGCAAGCTTCGGTCGAGGACGCGTACATGACTATGCACCTGAGCTCCGCTGAGACATCGACGCTGGAATCGGAAACGTCGTTGTGGCTATTAACGTCTGCATCGGTCGCGCCGCGCCAATTCTCGGCTGTCTCGGCCGATTGCCGCAAGCTGCGTTGATATATTGATTTTTTTTCACCGCTCGCGGCACACGCTGAATTCTATAGTCTGTTAACGCGTGTGTGCGTTAGCTCCGTGGCTTGCGGAGTGCTGTTGCACTCGTACATTCGCGCAAGCTCCGACAAAAGCTCCACGGCAGCTACTCTTGTCGATTGATTTACGCGCGCGCGCTCGGCCCGTTAAGACATTTTAAATGCTGCATAATCCACGCGTGAGCCTTAGCCGTAGTGAAGCAATAAGTATTCATCGAAAGTATCCGAGAAAGTCGAGACGACCCTAACTCGTTTTACACACAAGTATTGCTACATACTACTAAAGGCTTTTGAAGCTTTTACTCTCAGATCGACGCGCAAATCTACCAGTGCGATATTAAAAGCTCCACGTCGAGTCTCCGAACGCGTCGAGCCGAAAAGATCGATCGGCACGTTGTACGTAACTCAGAACCAGAAGCGAATTTGTGCCGCGTGTTTGTATGTGAGCGAGGCGCACAGAGCCTGGCGATCTCGCACGCGCGAATGGCTAAAACGACTGCGACGAAGACGTCGAGACGCAGCAGCAGCAGCAGCAGCAGTAGCAGTGCCAAGACGACGGGCAATCTAACGCCGAATTAGTGACGATGGGACCTCTGAGCGAGAATGACTGCAGCAATCATCGAGGATTTAGAAAGTCATCCAGAGCGTCTGCCGTTGAATTTGCCGAAGCGAGAACAACGAGAAGGAGAAAGGAGAACGAAGCCGAACAGGAGTCCGAGAAGGAAGAGCGAAGGATACGAAAGAGAAGAGCGGAACGTACTGCTGTTGGCGAGGTGCTGCTGCACGTCGATCAGGCCTGGCAGCACGAGAGGTGACTCACCGCTGCGGCAGCCGCAGAAGCCGCCGCCGCCAGCGTCGTCGTCGTCGTCGTCGCCACGAGAGTCAACACCACCACTACCACGAGAAGCAGCAGCAGAAACAGTAGTAGTAATAGTTGTATCATTAATAGTACCGTCAAGATGCTCCAAGCAAGGGATCAGCAGCAGTTAGGTGTCGATCGATTCGATGATTCCATGCCACACGGGTTGTGCGGGGCGAGCCACGATCGAGCGCGACTCGGTCCCGGTCGCTTCTGGATCCACCCGCATCGTTATCGGCGTCTAAGACGAAGCCAGAAAAGTCTCGCTGTCGGCGAGCAGCCTGGGTCGGCTCACCGGGCCAGCGCCGCCCGTTCGAAAAAGCTCGTCTCCTTGTCGTCCGTGCTGCTGTTGATAATGCTGCTCGCCACGACGAGCCAGACCGTCCTGGCACGCCAGAACGCGCACCAGACCTGTCCGGGCTGTCCGCATCAGCAGCACGCGCATCTGCACCGTAGCAACGGCCGCGAGCCCGGCCCCAGCCCGGACGATCTGCGCCTCGAGGCCATCAAGCACCAGATCCTGTCGAAGCTCGGGCTGAAAAATCGGCCCGACGTCAATCGCACGATGGCCTCGGTGCCGAAACGCCTGGCGCTCGAGACGATTTATCGCGCCGAGGCGCAACAGACGGCCCAGCGAGCGCCCAATCCCGAGGCCGAGAGGTATCAGCATCACGGCGGCAATTACGACAGGAACCGAGCGAGCGCCGGTGGTGCCGGTGGCTCGTCCACCTCGAGCTTCGACGAAGAGTACGGATTCGGCGGCGGTGGCGGCTACGACGAGTACACCTATCGACACTCGAACAATATCGTGGCCAGTGCTGGTAGTGGTGCCGGTGGTGCTGGTGGCGGTTCCGCCGCTGCCGGTCCCGTTGACGCTGCGGACCCGATGATCGATCGAGACAACGTGCCGCCCTTTCAGGACTACGAGGACATGTACGCCGCGCCGCCGCCCCGCGAGACTGAAGTTATGGACGATTTTTACGCTAGGACCTCGGAGATCATCACTTTCGCCGAACCCGGTGAGTATCGCATTGCATCTATACCTTTTACTACTGCCTAATAGTTATACTTTCATACTGTATAATATTCATTTTATTGATTTCGCTTGATTTTTTTTAAAAATTTTTCGATTGAACCTTCATACATCTTAGCCTTGCGAGAATAAAAAGTTAGTTAATTTCAATCGATTTAATTTGCATTTTTCCCAACTTTTTTTTTGAAAAAGAAAATTGAATTACTTCAAATTCGTAAGGTAAAAATAATTTTTAGAATTGCGATTGTAATTAAAAATCGATAGAAAGCTTAGATCATCCGAATGAACGAATATTACAGACAATGCGCATTGTACATGCGAGCTTTAGTATACTGCTTTACACTTGGTGGTACGAAGGAACTTGGTGCATCGAAAAGATCGCATATAAGGCGGCGCATGACGCTGTAAGATGTATAAGCTCGCTCTCTGCGCGGTATACAAGCGACAAAGCGGCGTGTCATTCGACTAACGTCTGTTGTATACTCTTGCAGCACATCGAAGAAGTTTGGCGCTGAGTCGTTCGACGGGTTATAAAAAGTCTCGGTGTGTGCATGCTCATATGCATGTGTGTGTGTGTGTCTCAGTTGGGGAAAGTAGTAAATGCCGCACACCACTCGTATCTACTCGTCTGCTTTCCTCTCTATCTCTCTCCCTTTCTCTTCGTGTACATGTATGCACTTGCGTATGTAGAAGAATAATATAAAGCACCGAGCAGCGTACGGACCAACGTTTCGCGCGCCGCTCGATCTGTGCATTTCGTATCACGTACGCGAGTATACGATACGTATGTGCAAATACACGCTTTTGCACTCGTAAATAGTGTTGGTATACGCGTACGCACACGATCTCGCGCTCATAACCCCCCGGGTGATCCTGCTGCATGGCACTCCTTACGTTACGAGCTTGCAGCTCATATATCGCGTATCGCTGCGTACGTACTATAGGTGTTAGGTATACAGTAAAAAGCCGAAACTTTTTGCGCGCGTGCCACCATCGCCACCAGCGAGGAGTCGAAACGCTAAAGCTCTCGTGCACTGATCCACGCCGCGCGCGAGTACAATTTATTTCATCGTCGCGGCTTCGCGCCCAGCCACGTCCTTGCGATATATGCAATCTCGAAAGCTCATTTTGGAGACAAAAAACAGTCCTTCGTGACCAGAAATGTGCGATGGAAAATTTTCGATGCGGCATCACGCTGTTTTCTGTACCTATTAGGGATACCCAAAAAATGTCAATAATTTTTTCATCAACTACTTTTTGGTATTTTCAGCGATTCGAGCTTGAACTGGTGTTCGGCACATCTCCGCAAAACTGCATTGCGCGTGTATTTGCTCTTAAATACGATACACGCGCTGCCGTGCAACAGCGCTACTAGCACAGGGCGCAGCTTGCGCGCACACGATGCAAACTTTACGATATCGACATAAACGATGCAAGCTCGCGCGCGCAAAAAAGCTTGATATGTAGGGCGCATAAAGAGTTATCATTTTACCGCGCTACCTACCTCGCCGTGCACTGCGCACTATCACTACTGCCACTACTACGACAACAACAACAACAACTACTTCTACTACTACTGCAACTATGGCTAAGTTATAACACTAGGCTCGCGCATATATGATTAGTCTCATTTTTTTCCTTCTTTTCTTTAATTTTCTTATGCTCTTTATCCTCTTTCATCCCTGTGAGCTATTCTGAGTGCATCATTACTATGCGCTTATTCGTGTATCACGTTGTGCGCTGTACTTGTGCATCTACGCTGTGTTCGCATGCACAACTTCAAGCGAATCGATTCTCGCTAGTCATTTTTCAATATAATGACATTACATTTAGTCTTCTCGAACGATCGAATTATAAATATTAGGTATTAGTTCCGCTTGCACACCTGGTTGTTACATTAATTTTATTTGCTCACTCGCGTAGTTTCTAGACGTCAATGATCGTTATCCAGCGTCTAGCTTCCGTACGTGCGATTGTGATTTATTCATACTGGATAAGCACAGGCTTTTCGCATAATAGCCACTGTGAAAATTGTAAATGCAGACTATCGTACACACATGTTTATACGGAGATAGTAATGAACTTTCAGTATCGATTTTAATCGAACTAATCAGTGCAACGACTAAGACCTGCTTGTGTGTGTATATGTGTGAGTACACTCGACAATTTGTTCCCATGTACGATCTCTAATTAATAATCCGTAAATTATGTACGGAGCTTTGGTGACAATAGTCGCCACGTACACAAACACATCGAGCATGTCGTGGCTACTACTGATGCCATGCGATATAGCATGGTATGGTATATCCGTACTAGCTCGTAACGGATCAAGAAAATGTAGACGCATGCAGTACAGTCGTCTTATAACACTATACACTCGAGCTTTACCGTAAGTTACGCTCTCTATCTTCCTCTCTCTCTCTCTCTCTCTCTTTCTTGATGGAACAAATTATATATTTATTTATCAACTCTATACTTATTCATCGAGTTCCTAAAGTAGATAGTGCGGATGAGCAAACTTTCAATTTCCAATTTGTTTGGCTTTTATGTAGTCGTTGCTCATTCAAAGATAAACTATCAATTTAATTATTGCTCAAAATTGTTTAGTTTAAATTCACTTTTAGGTTTAAACTTAACGTCATAAGTGATAATTCATGAAGATTTGAAGTACCAAAAAATTGCAGGTTTGCAGGTTATAAATTTCATCTGAGATTTAGAAATTTATAGGGTTATCATAATGTTGAAATTTTGCATCAAGTTAAAATAATATTATAGTTTGGGTTCGCCTCGCATCACAACTCATCAACTTATTAATGTAAAAATTCAAGTCATTGAAGAAATACGATCTTTCAAGAGATGAAATTAGTTCATTAAAAGTGATTATAGAAATTAATGCAAGTTATTACTGGTGCATGTTATTTTAGTTATTTCAATTTGAGTTATCAAAACATTTCAGCTAACAAAGAGAATGTTTCAAATGAATATTCATGACTTACGATTTTTGTGTTACAAATACGGACAAGTGAATACGGGGAACATAAAACGAAATGACAAATTTTCAGCTACATATCGTAATAAGTACTGATAAAATCTTGAACAACTATAGAAATGCTGTATTATGCTATAAAAGTCACATGACCATCAAGTTTTTGCTGTTTTTTTGTGACAGTAGTCAGTTTTATAAGGTATTGTAGGCGAAATCTGAAATGCGCATGAACAGCAGCAGCTGCAGCGCAGTAGATAGCAGTAGCAATGAAGGTATCTATGCACAGAGCGAAAAGCTTTTATACATGCGTACCAGGGTTTTATAAGAATAAGAAATCTCGTAAATTTGTTTCTTTGGTCCAGCTAGAAGAGAGATAGAAAGAGAGAGAGAGAGAGAGAGTCCAGCATATCTGAATGTAACAGAAATTCCCTTAGTTTCCTTTCTTCATCTACTTCCTTTCTTGCCATTTCCTTTCAGAATCTCTTGCCTCGTCCGCGTTGTCGTTGTTCGAATCGCAGATCGCAACCAAAGTCCGTCTTAAAACACGATAACCGAGAGTAAGAAATAAGTAAGAAGAGAGGGATAGAAAGGAGAGAAAAAGAGAGAGAGAGAGAGAAAGAGGAGGCAAAGGACTAAACAGATGAAAACCTCGCAGCAGGTCAGACTGAGCTTTTTTATTTTTTTTTTTATTATTATAATTTTTTTATTGGAAGACAAACGATATTTTGTAAAAATTATACGCAAAAACTCAACCGATTTTAAATTGAGTCCTTAAAATTTTTTTCACCCATCAACTTATTATATTTAATCATACTTGTTGCTTGAAATTTTTTTTTTTAATTTTCTGCAAGCTCTCTGTTTTCGATGATCGATTAAAAAATGTTTTTAAAAGTAAAAATTCATAATTTTCAGTCGAATTGATAAATTGTCAATTAATATTTAATTAGGTGCGATATCAGTCAAGTAGTATCGAATTCACACAACCGCATTTTATCGAAAGCTCAGCTCGGACGATTGCCGCCTTATTGCACGAAAAGCGCTTCTTCGCTCGAGTATATCCTACTTCTAAAACACCAAGCTTTAGAAACAGTCGATTGAATATTCCTGGAATTGAACAATTCGCTTTGAAACTGAAATAGATAATTAGCCGAGTATGTGTGAAACGGTTTGTGCAAACACAAGCTCACGCACACAGACACATAGCCACGCACAGGGAGAGAAAGAGAGAGAGTGTCGCGTGCGTCGTTGTCGCACGTATTATGAGCGTGCGTGTTTATAGTGTGAGAGCCCCGAAGAGAGCTACATAATACGCTCACACACGCGCGCGACTGTATAGCAGCGTCGGGGTAGAGAGGGTGGCGCGGCCCTCGGGTGAGGGTCTCGGCGAGAGAAAATGGAATTTTGTTACATGAGCCTGTCTGGAGTCAGCGAACCGATGAAGCGTGGTGGTCTTAGTCTCTTTCGCAACCCCTTCAGTAACTTGAAACTGGCGCGCAAACGAGTCTGACAGGCTAACCTTTGTCAGGCTTACGCTTCCAGCCCCTGTCCCGATATACATTACGACGCGCGCGATGCAGCCACTCTCGCATACACACACATGCACGCCTATGCGTATAGCTAGCTGCCTTTCGGATTGTGACTTTGATCAATAAGTGAAATCGCGAAAGTTTTCTATTTTAGCCACTCCACATATCCGCTTACCGATTATAGATAGTCTATCGCTATGTATGTATACAGGCAGCGCTCGTTTGTAAGTATCTCATAGCCCTGGCACCCCAGACGATTCAAATCCAATCGACGCTTTTTTAATCATGCGCGATCGCCTACGTTTCTTTCGTAAATTTGACTGAAATTTACAATTCAACGACAACAAAAAGTTACATTTTCGAAGCGAGAAATATTTTCTCACGCAAGGCTTCGGTCGTGTCTTCGAAATAGTATTGCAATGCTGCATTAATTGAGATAAAAAATAGTGCTTCTTATAAAATAACTTAAATGCC